CCAAAAGCCTTCTTAGATTAATATACCTCAACTTCTGAGAAAGGTGCATTTGGAAAAAGCCATAATCAGACCCTTTTTAAAATATAGGGAGTTTAGCATGGGAGTAAGTGGCCTTGAGGTTGCCTAGGTCTCAAACCATCTGGGGATTTGAAAGGAAGGACTTGAATTAAAAACCAACATACAGCCAGTTCAGGCCTCCAAAACAGAAAAGGTATGAACCAGTCAGCTTCATTTACAGTTACAGTCTGGCCACTCTCTTTTTGTATGAGTTGAAGCTTCCCAGTTCTTTTCCAACAGTGGCTCCATGTATGGTATATTGTAGAAATCCCACAGGGAGATTGATTCGCTCTGGTTAACCAAGCCAGACTATTCTGCCTATTCTAAGTTGCAGTTACTCATCCAGCTATAACTGGGAACAGTGGGATTTAGTGGCAGAGTGGCTACTTGGATATCTGATGTCAGAACTGAATCCAGAAGGAATGTTGAACTCAAATCTGCTTTTTTTGGGGGGGGGGGTGGATTGGAAACAAGCCCGCAAACATGCTTAAAGGCTACATGTTAAGCATATTTTGTTCTTTGAAAGCAGGCTACAGCCCAGGATCTCTGAAACAGTATCAAGTTCCCTTTATTTCAGTAAGAAGGGACCAGTTTTTAACCTTACACCTATTAGGGAAATCTAGAATAATTATTCCCCCAAAGAAATAAGGTGCTAAAAGAGGAATACATAGAACTACTCATAAAGGAGAGTGTAGAGGCTGTCAGAAGCCAAAAATGAATATGCAGCCATTTATTTCACAGCAGTATATAATGACCAGAAACCATATTCTGTTCTTTGTTGTCATAGAAATAATTCTATCCCTCATGAACTTGTCTAAGTTTCATTTCCTTCCTCCAAAGGGTTAATCTCCTCTAGCACACTGCCCACCTATGTCTTTTCTTGACCTCACAAGAACAAAATCATCTACCACATTCTTTTCTTCACCATTAACTGTGAATTCATTAAGCTTTCTAGTTGACAAATCTTTGTAGTCTCAGTATTTAATATTAACCCAGATTTTTCACTTTCCATTTTTACTTTACTAATGAGCTCTTCTGAGCCTTTCAGCCAACAAAGTAGTATTGTTAGAGCTTCATCCTCCAATTTTGATTCATGCTCTTTTCTCCTCAAATCCACTATAATATATTTATATTTTATTATTTGTAAATTATAACGTATGTATATATATTATAAATATACATATACTGTATATGGATATATCATATTATAATGTATTCACTGTTTGAATTAAACTGATATGGGGATAATATACTTCTTTCCCTGTTCTGAACCACTCTGTTTCTCCAAACTGAGTTCTTACAGTAGCTTCTTGTTCATTACAAAGGTTTCTCAGAAGAATAATCAGAAGTTCTGGCACACCCATCAGCGTTAATACATGTCACATTCTGTTACAATCTAATCAATCAAATGTCTTGCTACAGTCAATAAAATAAAGGTTAACCCCTTTCTTAAATTCTTTTGCTCTCTCCGGTATACAGCTTACATTCACACATCTGATCTCGTGTCCCTCTGCCCTTTCTGAAACCTGTCTCTTCATTTGGACTTTCTCGGTGCATATGGCTCTATGCTTTAAAAAAGTCATAAGCAAGACTTTGTTTGCAGTAGTGCAAGGGTTTTACAAAAGATGGGTCTTCCTTTGCATCTCCTTTCTTCAGTATGGTTAACTGCACTGATCTTTCCCACTCTATGTCACACATTCTTGTTCTTTGTTGATGTTGAGCTGTGAGTACTTTAACTGTCTCTTGTGCACATTCATTAGCTCCTGATACTTTTCAACTGGGTAGCTAGTTTATTCTCATACCTTACTTTCTAGTGGAGCCAGTTCTTGAATGTATTATCTCTCTACAAATGTTTGTTACAGTATAATTCTGTTTGTAAAAGATTTCACTGTATTCCCATTTTTCTTTAACCTCCTTTGCTTTTATTAGATCTGTTCCATGATTGCTGCTGAGTAGCCCCAACTTAACTATACATTTTCCTGTGATTTCTCAGATCTTCGTAAAACCTGTTCTCATTTTCCTTTTTGTGTTCCTTTTTTCTATTTGTTGCTATCCTTGAGTAATATGTCTTTCTCTTTTCTTGCTTTATACTGAAAGGCTGCAATCTGTTGACTGTCCTTATTACCAAGGCTTTCATCTTTCTTTTCCTTTTTGAAATTTGGAAATAATGCTTTCTGTTGGGTCTTCACAGTGGCCTTATATTTTCCAATAGCAAATTAGGCTCACTTTTCATAAATTAATATGTTAGGCTCACTTTTTTCATGAATTAATATGTTCTTTATGCTCATCTATATTTTGATTGTAAGTCCTCCAGGTGAAATTGTCTTGTCACACCTACTCTCTTTTAATTTGCTAAGTTGAAAACTTGTATATTTGACACCAGTACATCACAGTCTGTTCTGCAGTCTGCACCTAAAAGTCTCCTAGCTGATTGGATTGCATTTTCCTGTCTTCTGTTTACTATTATATAATCATTTTGTTTGTGATGCTGTGCCTCCAGTGATGTCCACATATTACTTGAAGCAGCTGTTGACAATAAAACAACAGTTCTCTTTGCAAAACTCTGTTAATGAATCTCCTGCGTATTATGTTTACCCAGTCCTACATTATCATTGTATAAGGCATATTAAATCTTTCCTCTGAAATCAAAGTTTAGTTTAGGGGCAAATACGCTTTTTTTTCCTTCATGATTCTTGCAGAAACACTTTCAGTAATTAGTTTTTCTTTGTCTATATGCTAATAAAGGTATATTTGGTAGAAGATAAGATATTCTCCTAAAGCTTCCGTTTCATCTAAGGATTTGTCAATCAAATCAGCATATAAACAGAATTATGTGGATTTCTTGCTCATAGGTTGCTTGAATTTTGCAGGAAAGGGCTTGCTAAAAGAGATGTGTGATTAGGTTAAGGTTACTTCACCTATAGATAGCATTCTGAATGTATAATTTAGTAACTTTTTCTCTACTTAACAGCGCATATGTGTAATGTATAATATGTGACTTGAAAACTGACTTTTGTCTTATAATAGTGTAGGATATATACTCATGTATGAACCATTAAAAAAGCAAATTAATGTTTCCCTGGGATGAAGTCCTCAGTGTAAACCAACCAAGATTATCTGTATGACTTGAAGCCTGCCATCTTAAACGTATCTCTATGTGAGCCTTTCTCAAGGAGACAATCTAGTTTATGTCAGATAGTATGAAGATGTGTAGAATATAAGAACAGCCTATAGTGGATAGTGAACCCCTTGAGGGATGTTTCTTTTTCTGGTGTTTTTGTACAATCTCTGTATTATTCTTTTTTAATTGTCTTGTGTTGCATGCCACCAAGAATCAGGCTGCCAATACATACAGTAAATAAATAATCCAATCTGTGAGTAATATGAAGCACTGTTTTAGGACTGTTACTTTATTTGAGGATTTTAGGCAAAAATAGATACTATCTAGATCCCAGGCCTACTTATGGGAAAATATATTTAGTGTTTCTAGTTTCTCAAAGTTACAGCTGTTTGTTTTGGAAGACCTGCTGCATGCATTGCTACTAGAAATAATAGACTTACTTTCTGATAATATTGGGCCTTTTGAAATATTAAAATTAAATGGACAGACATAAACCCTGTAGTTCCAGGAACCACCATATAGTTCCAATATAAAATACAAGCAATGTAGTATTTGTATTGTGAAGAAAAAGAAGTAGCTGATCAACACTGTAAAATAAATTCCAAATCTTCCATTTGTATATCCACATTATATATCCATTTATTCCTCTGCCAACTGCAGATGGAATTCTTCATGGATTCCAGTGTCCCATTTTGCAAAATGCTCACTAATACAGGTAGTCCTCGACTTAACGACCATTTAATAACCGTTTACAGTCATTACGACAGTGCTGAAAAAAGTGACTTTTTCACCCTCAGTCATGTAGTCAAAATTCAGGAGCTTGGCAAGTAGCATGTATTTACGACAGTTTCAGCGACCATTCATTTAACGACCGCTGCAAAAAAGGTTGTGAAATTGGTGTGACTCACTTAATGACTACATCGCTTAGTGAAGGAAGTTCTGGTCCCAACTGTGGCCATAAGTTGAGGACGATCTGTTGTCCCAAGATGGATAAAAGCCTGTATAGTAGTTCAGTGGTGGAACCTCTGCTGTGTATGCAAAAGATCTCAGTTTATCCCAGGTCTCTCCATTCCTGGATATCCTGGAGAACAGGATAATATTGAGGTAGTTGGGCAAGTTTCTGTTTCTTTTTTCTTAGGTATGATTGGTACTTCCTACTTAGCTTTTCTCTGTGCCACTCCTACAAATTTTCTAGTCAAAAAAGATTCCAGTTCTAAGATACCTTATACAGGTAGTCCTCATTTCGTGACTGCCTTGGACAGTGACTGTTTGCAGTTATGACAGTGATGAAAAAGTAACTTTGTGACCAATGAATGCACTGGTAGAAAGTCTTTGAATTGCTGTTCACATGTAAAATTAAACATTATACTTCCCATACTTGAGATTCCTGCTTTTCCAAGATTGTCATTTCACAAAGGGGAAACCCGCCACTATGGATCCTTCCCCTAAAATAATTAAGTAAAAATTCATGCTACTAAATTATTGTCAGATACTGTTGGGAGGTGGGATTTTGCTAATGAAATTAGAGAAGCAGCAGGTGTATTGGTTAGTGATGCCAATATGCAGCTTACCTAAATGCCTGCTCTGTGGGGTTTAGTTTTCTAGACCAAAAAAAAAAAAAAAAGGAGATTGCTCAGGAGTAATTACTTAATAAAACTTCCGAATTCAGGTAATTTATTTCTCATTTCTGAATGTGCTGTTCTTTGTCTGCGCTGGTATTTTAGCAGAGGAAAGAGAGAGAGAAAATCCCATTCAAATGCAAAAGGAGCGTTAGAAATACCTTGGTTAAATGCTCACAGGCTTTTTCCCCCCCCACAAACAGATATCGGTATATTGGCAAAGCAGTATCTTGAGGAAGGTGTTTTGGTACCAGATCATGTAATTTCACGTGTAATGATGACAGAACTGGAGAAAATGCAAACTCAGCCTTGGTTACTAGATGGTAAGTAATTATCTTGTTTTTATTTTTAAGGTAACAAAAAAATGTTCCTTTTTCTGCTGTAAACCCTTAAACATTTCACTTAAATATATGCTCTATCATGTAGTGTCATGAACTGTCTGAAAACAGTTGATAGTATGCTGTGCCAGTATGAACCAATATTTTTAGCAGCTGGTAATAAAGTAGGAAGACAAATGAAAACATCTTGAAAGCATTTAGAAACAGAGGATTCATAGTTTGGCCTTTGACAAAGATTGATTCATCTACTACTTTAGATAAATACTTATTTATAAACATATACTTCTATTCTGTATGTGCTGTTATATACATCTATCCTGCCTCAATCAAATTGACTCTAAGAGACATTTTAGAATGCTATGTAAAATGGCAACAACAGAAGAAAACAGAATAATACAGTACAATACAATACAATACAATACAATGAAACATAATCAAAAGATATCCAGCACTTTTCTGTTTTAGGACAAATACTATGACATCACCAACATCATCTTTCCCCGAAAGCTTTTTGAAAAACCATGTCTTTACCAGGTTTCTAAACACCAGAGAAGAGACCAATCTTGCCCTGTGGGACAAGCTATTCTATATGAGCCTCCCTCCCCTCAAGAATGCTTGTCTTCTCCCACGTTTCTCAGTAGATGGGGACTGTCAACATACTCTCGCTATTAGCATGTATTGGATAGGGAGATTCTGTTTGGAGTAGTAAGTCTCAGATATGGTTTCTGTCCCATGCTTGACCTGAACTGAATTGAAAAGAGACTAGATAATCACCTCCCTCAAGGGTCCTTTGCAGCTGCCACCCCACCACCTCCTCAAACATCGTCCCCAAAAATGGAAGTTGTAATTATAGTTCCAAAACACAACCCTTTGGCTTCTTCATCTTTTTAATTAATTAATTAGATTTGTCTTCAACTTTCAGGAGTTCAAGGGGTGTATTTTTCCCCATTACATCGACACCCAATGAGATAGGTTTGGTTCAGAGAGAGTGCATCGTTCAAAGTCACCCAGTGAGTTTCCAGTGCTAAAGGTAGATTAGTGCCTGGGTTTCCCTACTTCAGTGGTTCTCAAACATTTTGGTCTCAGGACCCCCTTATATTCTTAAAAATGATTGAGGACCCCAAAGAGCTTTGGTTTATGTGGGTTATATCTATCAATATTTAATCTATTAGAAATTAAAACTGAGAAATTTTAAAATATTTATTTATTTGACTTTGTGGGTCCCCTGAAAGGATCTCAGGGATTCCCGGGTGTCCCCAGACCACACATTGAGAACTGCTGTTCTAGATTAACATCTTAACCTCTAAATCATGCTGGCTCTCTTCTTTTCTACCCAGAAGTGGCACGTCAGTATCTTGTTTGTCTCCAGCCTCCTGTAAGTGCTTGGGAATGTGACTAAGCTGTTAGACTCCTTGATCTGCCTTCTGTTACATGAAACAGTGCACACTTCATGTGTTTCTAGAGCGTGACAAGTAGCAACTGGTAGGTGGGAGGAAAGAGGAGAGCCAAGATACATTGCTTATAACTATATCATTTTATGCTATGAACAATGTTAGGGATAGCTCACTTTGGCTAATATGCATCTTGAATTTTAAAAGGAGAAACCTCACCCATGTTTTTTTAAAAAACAAAACTTTATTTGACTACAGATAATTTGAACCTTCAACAAATTGCTATTGGAAAATTGGATAGACTGGATTTCAGAACCCTGATTCTGTCGTGAAGCAGATTTAATAAAGAGTTCTAAAAGATGGAATAAATCCATTTTTGAAAAGTAGTATTTGTCCATATATAGAACAGAAGTGACTTTAAATAAAAAACATAAGTTGACTAATTTTTGCTGCCTCAGGCTACCTAAGACAATTAATAATGAGAGCCTTTGGTGACATAATGGAAAGATTCCTTCCGCATATGTTTAGAGAAAGGGCATAAAAACCATTTGTCATGTAGAAGGAAAAGTTTCACTGGTATACGAACGAGATTCTCACTTGGTTCAGTCTTCAGATGACTGAAGCTGATGTAATGCTAATTCATTCTTAAACTGCAATTCCTCACATCACTTAAAAATTGTTAAAAGCTGTCTGGTACTGTTAGAGAAGTCTGTGTGCTCTTTAAGACATGGGTACATAATGGCTTCAGGGGTGGGGTTTTTGGGAGGACCCTTAGTCCCCTCCTTGAAGGTGATGATTTTCTTTAATTTGTATGAAAGACAGTAGAAATGGCTGTGTGAAGCCCAGGATAATTAACGGAAAATAGGGAGAGTTGTAAGTAAGAGTGGGGTTCCCAGCTGCCCCAAAGAAATAACTTTAAAAATAAAATAGAAGGTTAGCAGGCATCTGGGAACAAACAGGTATCCAAGTATTTATCAACTCTGACCCAGCAGAAGTTGGTTAAATAAAAGTTGGCTCTTGACTCAGTTTCAGGCTAATATCATCTGATGAAATGAAGCTTCTATCAAAGTGGCTTATAACTTAGACAAAGCTCTGAGTGTGAATATGTTTGGTTTATTTTTGCATGCTTATGGTTAATTGAATAGTTGCCTTTCCCCCTTTTTAAAATAAGAGTGCAGATCTGTGGCACTTGACTTGAATCAGTCTGTCATTGGTGAAATACTGCAGCTGATGGAATGGGAAATGTTCCCAGGGTTGCCATCTTGGTATATAATGAAACCAGTGTGGGCTTGAGGCCCCGGGAGCTGATGTACATGGCTTGTGGCATTTTTGTGAAAGAACCTGTTGTTTCCTTATGAATGACATAGATTAATGCTTAATTTCCCTGTATAGTAATCCTCGCTGTTTTAAGAAAAGACATAAAATGAGTCAAGGATGCTGGTAGAAAAAGAAAGCTGTGTGTATTTATAAGAGAAGAGAGAAAAACATGTTTATTCTATTTCAAGCTCCGCTCTCTCCATAAACTTATTCTTTCTTGCCACCTTGGTTCTTTCAATAGTTGCCTTCTTTATGCACACACAGACTAATGGGCCATTTTGCACACGTAGGAAGAGGCAAAGCTCCTGGCTTTAAAAGCACTTTATGATGAACATGCCTATATAATTTAAGTTCATGCTTAAAATATGTTGGATGTTCTGAACTCAAAGATGTCACTAAATTAAAGTTCATATATAAGCAGGTATAAGATTACAAGCTTTGAACTTTTGCAACATATTGCTTGATTGAATGCAGAAATACAAGATTATCTTTTCCAGTACATTTGTTCCCTTTTTTTGAAGAATAAGGGGCCTAATGCACTTCTTTTAGGGAGGTGTATTTGTAAAGATATAACTGCCTGGCCACTGTGATAAATTTGTAAAGCATTTTGATGACAGAATTGCTCAGATTCGCCGAACTTTTGACTCCTCATGGGCAGATTCTTTGGTGGTGATTAGGTCATCAACTTGTCATTATTACCTGAGAGTCCTTCTGGCCTGTGAACTTTGAGGAATAGATAGGGTACAATCTAGGTTATTCTCTTCCACGTGCAGTTGGGGTCCTACTCATCCTGGCTGCTGCCAAGAAATGGGTAGAGAAGTGACCACCTGGGTCCATGAGATTGTTAATACTTTCTTACTCACTTGGAGGAGCTCCCCTAAAGGAGGTTGTGATGCCCTCCCTGGATCTAGGTCCTAGATAACTGTTGCCCAGCCTCCAACCTTCTCTTTTTGAGGAAGATTGTTGGCATGGTGGTGGTAAATTAAACTGTGTAGCACCCTAGAAGAAGCAGATTATCTGGATTTTTTCAGTCAGGGTTCAGGCCTAGTTATGAGACTAAGACAGCATTAGTTACTGTCCTAGATGACCTTTGTTGGGACCTGGATGGGGGTAATGCACCTCTCCTAATTCTTTCAGTGACTTTTGATGCCATCAACCATGGTATTTTACTGGGCTGCCTATGGGTGCTGGGGATAGGAGGCAGTATCTTACAGTGTTTCCACTCTTTCCTCAGTGGATGGTTCCAGTCTGTTGTGGTGGGATATCAGAAGTCAGCCCAATGGCCCTGACTTACAGGTGCTATCTAACAGTTAAGGGTGTGATATTATCAGTATTATACATTGCCACCCTGGGCTGTAGAGGAGATGCTGCTGATGTTCTGTCTGGTGCCTGGAAGCTGTAAGGTTCTGGAGGGGAGAGAACAGGCTAAAGCTGAACCTAAGCAAAATAGAGTTACTATTTTTACACCGGGATTTTCCATCAACACCAGTATTATCTCTGGTCAAGCAAACACTACCTGTGAAGGAGCAGGTTTGTGATTTGGAGGTCCTTTTGGACTTCTGGCTTCTGCTTGAACAACAAGTAGAAGCCATGGCTAGAGGAGCTTTGTCTAGTGCTCCAATTTAGTTTTATCTTGTGCAGGAGGACCTAGCTACAATAACTCACACTCTCATTACTACCTGGATATACTACTGCAATCCATTTTACATGGGTCTGCCTTTAAACACTTGGAAATTACAAATGGTCCAGAATGAAGCAACCTTTGTATTAATTGGTACCTGACACTAGGAGCATGTAAACCAATACTGCAGGCTCTGCAAAAGTTACCAATTCCCTTCCAAATATGCTTTGACATGCTGGTTCTAACCTATGAAATTTTTTATGTCTGGCACCTGGGTACGTGCAGGACTGCCTTCTCCCACCTGTATCAGCCTGATGTACTAGATCATTGAGGGAGAAACTCTTTGTGGCCCCACACTTCTGGGAGATGAGGGGAACCAAAACTAGTAGACACTGCTTCTCAGTGGCAGTGCTAATGCTATAGAATGGTCCTTCCCTGATGTCTTTTCAAAAGGTTGTTTAAGAAATTAGCTTTTCCCGAGAACTTTTCAGTGATTCTTACCTACTGCACTATGTTTTACTTTTTTACTTTCTATTTTTGCTTTATAGATTTATGTTTTATAGCATAACAACACTTCTATTGTTCATTAATTTTGAGATTTTTGTTGTTGTCATTTTAATCATACTGTGGATGTTTTCATTTTTTTGCATCTCATGTAAACTGCCCAGAACCATGAGATTGCAGCAGGAAATAAATTCAATAAATTAAAGCAATAAGTAGTCCAGTCTAGACATGTTCTTAAATACCACTCACTGGGCAGTAACAGACTGCTGATGCCCTTAAATCCTGTTTTGGCCTTCTGGATCTACTGGGATTGGCCACTGAGGAAATGGGAGACTCTAGAGAATAGACCAAAATATGTTGCTACTCTGTTCACTGTGGCTAGAATAAGAGATTTGTATGATATTTAAATATGGTCTAATATTTGTATATCATGATGTTTCCTTCATAGACATCCATCCAGAGCTGACCAACCTATTCCTGAAGCCTATTGCAGCTTCCTAACCTATTTTCTATCAATTTGCCTCCTTGTGATGCTACTGCTTCAGTGCTTAAGACTGCATTTTAAATATTATGTTATATATTTTATATTTTATTGGGTGTATTCATGCTGTGCACATTTTAGAGCAGCCTTGCATGTGATATATAAATATTATAAAAACATGATAATGAATAAATGGAATTATGAAACTATTTTTAAAGCTATAAAATAATTGCTTTTTGATAACATTCCAAGCTCATTCCAGAATTTATTATTTTTTTAATTCACTTTTTTCATACAGGTTTTCCAAGGACATTGGGTCAAGCTGAAGCACTTGACAGGATATGTGAACTGGATCTAGTGATAAGTTTGAATATCCCATTTGAGACTCTTAAAGACCGTCTCAGTGCTCGTTGGATTCACCCAGCAAGTGGAAGAGTATATAATATGGAATTCAATCCACCTCAGATGCACGTAAGATAATGAACTATGACTTGATAAGAGGAAGGATAGGCATTCAGATAGTTCTCTATCTTATGTCTTGAATTTTTTAGATGGCCTCACTCTGATAGGTTTACATGTTTAGATTACATGTTCTGAAGAAATGAAGGAGAAGCAAAACCAGTAGGAAACTCTTAACTGGGGGAGGGGCAAGGGGAGTGAGTATGGCCAACTGAATGTCCAGCTACCTCTAAAAATGATTTTGAAGTACAGGTAGTCCTTGCTTAATGACTGCCCTGTTTAGTGACTGTTCAAAGTTATTATGCTGCTGAAAAATAACTTTACGACTGGTCCTTACACTTATGACCATCGCAGCATCCCCATGGTCACATGATCAAGATTTTGGTGCTTAGCAACCAGTGTGCATTTACAACTGTTGCAGTGTCCCGCGGTCACATGATCGCCATTTGCGTGCTTCACTGCTGGTTTCCAACAAGCAGAGACAATGGAGAAGATAGCAGTAAAATTGAAAGTTGTGGTCACGTGATGTCTCACTTAATGACCACAGGTGATTTGCTTAATGACTGCAGCAGAAGTGAGGTCGTAAGCCTGTGGTGACATGACGTCTTGTTTAATGACCGCATTGCTTAGCGATGGAGTTGCTGGTCCCAATAGTGATTAGTTAAGCGAGGACTATCTGTACCACTTTATGATTGTCTGGCAATAAACTGCTGATTTCAGTTTGAAAAACAAACAAACAATGCACTTAGAAAGTTTTATCGGTTTTCCTAAGCAGAACTATGGCAAGCTGTAGTGAGTCTCTTCCCTTGTTCTGGGAGCAGGACATATTTTCATGCTACTTCCTCTGGAAGGGGATATCCTGTCTTCCTGCAGAAAGCATGTATGCTTCCAAGCTCCACCAACCATCTGCAGGACCAAGCCAATCTATAAGATATAGAGCATTTGTTTTTCTCTCTCCCCCTTCACTTTAAATTAATGTGAGGCTGCATGGTTGGGAAGCTCATGAATACTGACTCATCCATGGACACATCATCTGACATTTATTTATATATTTATTTATAAATCAAACTTGTATGCTGCCTATCTCACTATACAAGTGACTCTAGGTGGCGCACACAAAAAGCATAAAAACAGTTAAAAATACAAAACAAAATTAAAAAGACTACAGATGGAGTTAAAAAGTGGAGACTGCATTCTCAGGGCACTAACTACCCTCAGTGTTGGGAGTCCCCATTAGATTCCCAAGCTAGTTGGCAGAGCCAGGTCTTAAGGCTTTTCTGGAAGGCCAAAAGAGTGGGGGCCAATCTCACCTCAGGGGGCAAGATATTCCACGGGTGGGGGCAATGGCAGGAAAGGCTCTCCTCCTAGACCCCGCCAGCTGAAATTCTCTAGCTGATGGGGTCTGCACCATGCCCTTCCTACTGGACTGGGTGGGACGGGTTGATGTAACCAGGACAAGGTGGTTCCTCAGGTAACCTGGGCCCATGCCATGAAGGGCTTTAAAGATCATAACTAACACCTTGAATTGGAATTGGAAGCAGGCCGGTACCCAGTGCAGCTCATGCAGCAGAGGTGTTATATGCGCAGCCCTGGGGGTACCCATAACTGCCCATGCTGCCTCATTCTGTATCAGCTGCAACTTCTGGATGCTTTTCAAGGGTAGCCCCATGTACCGCACATTGCAGTAGTCCATGCAGGAGATGACCAGGGCATGAGTGCCCAAGGGAAGAGAACATTAGATGTTGAGCAAGCAAACTGGGCCCTAGTGCAAATCATGCCCCCATATTGCTGCTGCATTCCCTTCAGCTAAGTAGTTCACAAGCTGTGCACTACTCATAGCCTTTAGCAGGCTTATCACTGCTTCTCTGGGGACTCAGACAAACAGGCACTGGAAAAGATGGAAGTCAGTAGCACTGAGAGCCCAATCCTGTCCCCTGTCCTCTACTGAAGGAACAGCAGTGTCAGGTCATGTCCTTCTGAAGGATCCTCTGTTCCGGAGCACCTCAGGAATGATATGCAACCACTTCATGGTCCCAGAATACCCTATTGGCCACCTTCCTTAAGAGGAAGGAAAAAGAAAGTCCCACCTGGAATGGCCTTGTCCTACAGCCCATTACAGGCCTATAGGAAGGGCTTGAGGAGAGGAAGAGGAAACAGGTGACACCAATTCCCATATAACCCCTCTGTGTCCTTGGGTGCTACTCTTCAGATCTCCACCATGAGGGACAAGTGCTAGATTAACCTTGTAGGAGAAAGAGCATCACCTCCAAGTGAGGGAGAGATTGCTAGTCTCCTCCTTGTTTGTTTGACATAATACTCAGACTTTTTCCCTCAGGACCAGTCAAAAAAGGAGTATTTCCCTAAAAGACCCTTAAATCCATGAGCCACTTTCAGAGAATAGATTTTCCACAAAGTCTGCAAGATAGGCTTGAGGGAACCAGAACCACATGCCCCCATGAGTCCCCTGATGGACCCACTGGAGGGAGAAATACGCTTGGAAGTTAACAATCCTACCATATCTTTCCACTTTCATGAGACTTCTAATATAGTTACTGAATCTAAGAGGTTGGCTGGGGATGAAAGCTGGCATCTCCCTCAGTTAGTTCTAGAGCTTTCCAAGGGCCCTTTAGTGGGTGTCCCAGTAGCAGCATTGATCTTAGGGGCCATAACTAAAGATGGGGAGAATACCAGCAAGCACCAAGAGGATGAAGATTCTGCAGTGCAGATCTCCTGAGGCTACAGCCCTAGTTGTAAGGGTCACTTTCATTATGTCTGACTTTGACTTTATCTCTACTCTATGCACCAAACAGTCCCTTTTGAGCATAGAGTACTCAGACAGGGCATGAATAAATTGTCCAAAGCAGCCACCAGGAGGCGATTCAGGTGGAAGAACTGGAAAATAAGTCAGACTAAATTTATACTCATATTTGGGCCTGCTCAAGGGCAGGAAGCTTTCAGAGATGCCTTGCGAGAGGTCTTAATAAAGATTCTTTGCAAAAAGAAAGTTCTGCTCATATCCAGCAAAAAAGGTGAAAGGAAGGGGAACAAGGTCTTACGCCTTTAGCCCATATTGTACACAAAGCAAACCCTTGGATCACAAGAGATGCAGAACATCCTGGCGATGGGTTAGAGACCTCAACCTTCACCAATCCAGGGGGAACACTGACTTCCCCCGTCTGCTGGTGGGTGGGAGGGTAACCGAATTTATCTATCTATGCAATCAAATAACTTCAGATGCCTAGCTCCTGAAGTCTCTCGCAGGGCTACATTGTTGATTTCAGCAGGCTTCCCCAGGACCCAAATCACACAAGTCAGCCAAATATTAGTTCCAACCTTTGGAAAGGGGTGTGTGTCTGTGTGTATGTCTCTTAAACAGCTTGCACTGGGTAGAGTGAAAAAGAGATTCCAAAACTTAGATTCAAGAATATCTGCACATTATTCCCATAGGTTCAAGTGGCAGCAGGGGAATTGTTCAGTCAGAAGTGATAGGGAATTGTGACCTCCAGATCTGGGGTGATGAGCTATTAATCATGTCGCAGCCTAGCAAGAGGTGTAAGTTAGGATGTGTGTCTTTTTTTTTTTTTTTCCCCCCTCAATAGGTAAGACCAGTGGGAGCAAACACTAAGATGCAGCAAGACTGTTCTGCAATGGAGAGATTGGTCACTGGGCTAGAGATAGGAATTTTTCAACTGATTGGCATTTAAAACTTAGTTTCCCACACAGTGTAATTCACATCATGCTTTTAAAACAGGGTATTGATGACATTACTGGTGAACCATTAATCCAACGGGAAGATGATAAACCTGAAGCTGTTGCTGCTAGACTAAGAAAATACAAGGATGCTGCAAAGCCTGTAATGGAATTGTACAAGTGAGTTGGAATCCAAACACCATATAAGCAATTTTTAAAACAATACAAAAAAGACATGGAGTATGTTAGTGGACTTTTCAAATTATCTAAAAAGCAGTTACCTTGCTCAGCCTTCTAGCTTTAAACTTAAACTATTAATTACAAGCTTGAACTATTTGTATTATAGTTTAGTTAATGGAGCTGTGCAGGGTAGTTCTTAATCTTAATTTAAAGTGAAATGGTTTTAGTGAACAGCAAGAAATCTGCCTGCCTCTGATTAGGCAGAATTGTTCAACTATTAGTTTGCAGAGATAACCACCTTTCTAACAGCAGCAGGCAGGCATTTGCTGGACAGCTGTAAACAGCCATAACTCCTAAGATCATAAGGTGCTTTGTATAGTACAGTGATCCATCTAGTCCAGTTACAACAGCAGTGATTGACAGTGCCTACCTAGGGTTTATGAGTGGAGTTTTTCAGCCCAACATGGAGATGTTAAAGGCTGAACATCTCTTGTCTGCCAAACATTACACATCTTTTGCATGCAAGGCATTTCCTTTAATACTGAGTCATGTCCATTCTGGAGTTCTGCGCTGTTTCATGTCCTTGAACATCTACAGTATGTGTGGTACCCATTGCAATCTAAAGAAAGAGCAAAGTCTTTAAATGCAGAATCTAACCTTAAAGGGAATGCTTTGAATTTTTGGAATTCCACAGCTCTGGCCACACCATTTGCCTTCCAACTTTTCAGCTATGCAACCCTTTCTGTTATTTACTGTAAATGGTCAGACATGCGATTTGATCATATTTTAGCCAGTGTTTCAGTACAAATCATGATCAAATCATTAGCGGTTGTTTCTTCCATGTGCAGCCTGTTTGGTTTTTATGCAACTGTAGGGGAATGAAAGCGCCTTCCTCCACAGCCATTACAGAAATATAGTTGTCAGAGGGGGAATAAACCTCTCTACCAATCTGTTTAGTGGAAAACAGCATATTTTTTATTAGCCTGCTGAAGCAGTAGTGATCTCTGTTTCCACGTTCCCACTCACCTATATCCAGAATCAAAATGTGAGCTACTAAGCAGGTTAGTCAAATTGGAGGCTAGTCACTTTTTCAGGCTAATTTCCAAGTCTGGTTAATTGTGTATAAGGTTTCTTCTTAATCAAGTAGTTATCAAATCAAAATGTTGTTGTAGTCATAGACCAGCATAAATCAAGTAATAAAAAGTTACAGAATAGCTATGAAGCCCACAAATTCAAATTCAATTTACAGATGAAACAGCACAAGGGCATACAAAATGGGTTTTCCATATCCCCTAGTAACCTATAAAGCTATTCTGGAAGGCTAAAGAGCAGTCTTTTATTTTTTTTAATAGTAATTTTATTAAAAATTACAATTAAAGAGATAAAAATGAATACAAACTAAAACAATAAAAGAATAAAAAGAAAAAAATAGCAAGTGCAGAAAAGAAAAATAAAGAAAAAATAAGAATAAAGAAAAAGAAAAATATAAAGAAATTACTTCCCTCTTCATCACAAGTATAAACAATTTTAGTAACTCATCACCTTCTCTTAAAATACAACAAATGATCCTCTTATCCCATCTCTTATCTATAAACAAATCCTTAAAGCCTCATTGTTCAGTCCTGATCAGCAAAAGTCTGTTAAGGGTTACGAGAGATAATATATTTTAACCTTGATCAAATAAACCAACTTTATATTCTTTCCTTTTACTTTTAACAATCTTAATCTTTAGTCCCTTCAAATAATGTCCTAGTACTTGGATTTCTTTTCATTTTTTCTTTATCCTTTCTCACAAAATTCTTCAAAGCTTTAAAAAATCTCTTTTGTAAATCCAATATAGGAAAGTTATCCAAGTCACTCTTTTGGTTTGTTATTTGTATATCTGTTTTAATTATTAAGACATCAGCTGGTTTCATTTGCGTGTCCGGTGTAGCATCTTTTTTCATATCATTCTTGTAGCCTATCACTTTTAAATTCTTTTTCAGATCGGTCAGTCTTGTCTGGTAAAACTTGTTCCTCTTCCATAACATCTTTTAAACACAGTCTATCTA